ATGTTCGACGGCACCGGCCTCCACGGAGTGTGGGACGTCCTTGACCGCGAGATCGGCGTCAAGAACGTGCCGGCCAGCACCACCCTGCCATGGGCCTTGGCGCTTTTCAGCGGGATGCTCGTCCAGGTCGGGGCTGACGGAGCGGCCCGGCTCCGCCTGGGCACCGGCTCCGTGGGCGCGGCCGAGACGGCGGCGGCGACCTTGACAGGGGCACTCAGCGGCCACGAGTAGCGGGCCAGCGAGTTCCAGGCCGCGGCCGCGAGCAACCCGCTGCGCATCCGCTGCGGCGTCCTGAGGAGGAGCAGGAGCAGGACCAGGACCAGACCAGGAACAGGAGCAGGAGCAGGAGCAAGAGCAGGCACAGGAGCAGGACAAGCAGGAGGAGCAGGAGCAGGAGCAGGAACAGGAGCAGGAGCAGGAGCAGGGTGAGAAGAAGGAGGGGGAGGAGGAGGAGGAGGAGGAGGAGTTGGAGGAGGAGGAGGAGGAGGAGGACGAGGAGGAGGAGGAGCGTCGGGCGTGGCGAGGTCCAGGCCCAGCTCTGTGCCGTCAGTGCCCCAAGAACGCGCGCTGCAGGACGGCGTGCGCGCGTACGTCCACGCTTCGAGCTGCGGCGGGGAACACCTTACCAAGGGCGAGGAGGCAGCCCCCCATCCTTCCTCTTCGTTTACTCCTCTCTCGTCCTTCATCCTCCTTTCTCCCTCTTGCGTCCTCCTCATCCGTCATCAGTTTGGCTCAAGCTGGCTCGAACTTCCCCTTGCGAGGCGGGTGGTGCGAGCACTCATGACGTCACGGTAGGAACGGAGAGCCTGGGCCAAGGCCTCGCCCGACAGGCTCTTGGAACGCCTCACCGCGCAGGTGGAGGAGCTCCGCGCGGTTTTCGATGGGGCCTTGAAGGCGCTCGACGCGTCGGCCGAGTGCGACGGCCTCGCGGGCCGATTGGCGGCTTGCGCGGCTTCGCTGAGGCCGCCCTGCTGGCGGGCTAAAGCCCGACGGCGCTGCAGCGGCTGCGGCGCAACGTCGCCTTGCATGCGGCTCGTGTGCCAGGCAACCTGCGCCATGTCCCGGCGGTCGCCTAGCAGCACCGCTGCGAAGGGGCATCGGCTCGGGCAGGCCGCGGCGGTCGAGAACGCAGTCGACGACGTTAAGTTGGACGAGCAGAAGTCGAACAAACAGTTATAGCCTGTGTTGCGGAGCCCTCGGCGACGGTTGCTTGAGCGGGCTGCGCTGCACTGAGAAGTGCGCAGCCAGTTTTCGCAGTAGATGGCTGGAGCTGCTGGTGGTTGGCGGCGCCGCAATCTGCGCTGGGCGCGGGCCATCATTTTGTGCGTCATGGCGCTGATTTCGAGGCGTTCATGGGCGCGGTGGCGGCGGAGGAGGCCGTGGTTCCGCACGTGAGCGATGCCGGGCAAGTGTGAGCCCGAGGATGTCGTCGATGCCGGTGCCGGCGAAACCACCGACAAAACCGAGTTGATGGAAGGCCAGACCGAGGAGACGGGGCTGTCTGATGGTCGGCGGGTTGCTGGACTCGTCCCGCGATGGGGGGAAGGGGGCGACCCTGGGGAGCCCGAGGGAGGGCATACCCAGAATGCACATTTGTCTGTTGTTGGCGTGCGGGTTGCTGGACTGCCCCCCTGTGGGGGAGAAGGGAACAACCCGGGGGAACCCGAGCGAGGGCACACCCCGAACGCGGGAGAGCGTCACGACGGCCGCGGCGCCGCTGGTGGACGACACGGTGTTCATTGCAGTTGTGACCGAGTTTGTCGTCGAGATCGATGGGAAGGAGTCCGAAGTCAGGGCGGCGAAGTCGGAGGCGGTGAGATTTGTCAAAGCCCCGTGGCGTGCATGGAGGGGGACTTGTCCAAGGCTGGGTTCGAGGTCATCATCGTGGCGGATTCGTCTGGGGTTCTCCAGCAGGCGGGTCGCTGGGGAGATGCCGCTGTAGTCGGGGCGGGCCCGTGCTGAGCCTGGTCAAAGCCCCCGTGGCGAACGTGGAGGAGGACTTAGCCAAGGCGAGTTTCGAGGCCGCGGCGCCAATCCTGGATGCTAGCATCGCAGAAAGCACTTCCGAGGGTGGCGACGCGTCCGAGGTTCGAAGGCCAACTGTTCAGACAGAGTGTGCGGAGCGGCAGTTTCAGAGCAAGCAGCAGGAGGCCCAGGAGTCGACGATGAAGGAAGGGCAGCATTAGCCCCTTTGGAAGCAGATGGTCGAGAACCTCCGTGTCAACCTGGAGGCGGTGAGTGGTAATCGGTGGCCCGTGACGGGCCACAAGCTATCTATCCTTGGGGAAGCGAGGCGAGAAGGTGATGGAGTGCGGATTATGTCATGAAGTGCATCGTTTTGGTGATACATTGGTGTTCTGCAGCTGTTGCTCATGAAGATATTGCTTTTAGTGCTGGAAAGACTGGGGGCCGCCTGCTTTTGCGAGCAGCTGTGACGAGAGCGTCGGTGGCGGAGCGCGTTCTGGTCAGGGAGGCGCGAGCGAACCTTCCGCCCCTGGCAACTAGTCCCGTCCGTCTTCTGGGGGCGGTTCGAATATCCGCTTAGGGTCGCAGTGGTGGTTCGGCATGGGTCCTGCCTGCCTGTGTCGAGGCACTCCAGTTCTGGGCCGCGTTTCGTCTCCCTTCTGTCCCCCCCTTTTCTCGCACGTGCTTGGGCAAAAGGTCCACAGGTCCTGCCTTCTCCTCGGCATCATCATTCTAGCGACGAGGGAGTTGTCAATGACTCTCGCCCTCTATGGCGTGGCATCAGAATTTTCATCACTACAACCATCGTCTTCATCATCCGCATCGTCATCCCCATCATCATTGGTTTCGTCGTCGTCGTCGTCGTCAGCAGCATCATGGCAACTACAAGTCCTCATCGTCGTCATCATCATATTCCTCCTGTTCCTGCCAAAGTAGCTGCGCGTACGCGCGCGTTGGCGGACTCGTGCGACCCTCTCTTCCGAACTCCAGTAGGAACTCTGAACCTTCTCGCCGTCGTCGTCGTCGTCGTCGTCGTCGTCGTCGTCGTCTTCGTCCTTCTTCTCCTCCTCCTCTTCTCCCCCATGTTCTTCATTCATATCCCTTCTTTTCTCGTCGTCCTTATCCTCATCCGCTATCTTCTCCCCCTGCTCCTCGTCTTCATTATCCAAGCGCTTTTTCCCACGCGCTCCCTCCGGTTCTGATCGCGCGCGCCCCCGCGCGGGTTCGGGGACGGGGCGCGGAGCAGGAGTTGGTTGGGGATGATGATGATGCTGATGATGATGTTGCTGATGATGATGATGATGACGACCATGATGATGATGATGATGATGATGATGATGATGATGATGATGATGATGATGATGATGCTGATGATGATGATGATGATGAGGAGGACGAGGAGGAGGAGGAGGAGGAGGAGGACGAGGAGGAGGAGGAGGAACAGGAGGAGAAGGAGGAGGAGGAGGATGAGGACGACGACGAGGACGAGGACAAGGTCGAGGAGGACGAGTTGGAAGAGGAGGGGGAGCGATGGTAGCATCCGATGGATACTCTTGCCAACAACTCGAAGCTCGAAGGAGGAGGAGGAAACCCAGCTCTGGACCATGTGAGCACTGCTGGTTGAGTCAAGATTCGAGCGCACCATATCGAAGACTTCACGGCGAACCACCGCTACCCAGTGCCTTTTGCAAGCGGTTATGTTGCCAAACCTTCGGCCAACACTGTGCCAAGCTCGTGGGGACCACTGGGAAACAAGGAGGACGAGAGAGGAGGGTGAGAGGAAGGACACAGCGAATCAATGTGACTGTTGCGTCCTGGTGATCTTAAATCGTCGACGAACGTGCGCGGCGCTGAGACGAGAGCCACATTTTGAAAAGGAATCGCCATCCGACTTCGAAACGGTTGCAAGCTGTTTGAGCGAACGGGCGCGGCGCTAAGTCGAGGGCCACATCTTGAAGGCTAGCCGCCCTCGAGCCGCCCTCCATCCCTGAAACTGTTGCACATGTCAAGCTTCAGGATCACACATGGTGAGAACGTCTCGCCCCGCCCGCCGTCGCGACACGTCTGGGGGTTTGACGAGGAGGAGTTGTGCAGAAGGAAATGGGTTGAGAAGGAGGAGGCGGAGACGGAAAAAGAGTTTTCCCTCTTGGTGTCTTCTGGGGGGCTCTTGGGGGCTTGTGAAGGCCTCATCTTTGGGCCTCGTGGGGTGGTCTCGAAGGGTCTTCGGAGGCCGTCTTGGCGGCCCCTCTGGGCCGTCGTGGGATCCTCTTTGTGCGCCGAAGGGCCGTCTTGGAGGTCTGTGGGGTCGCCTTTGGGGTCTCTTGGGCCGTGTTGGGGCCCTCTTGGGCTTCTGGAGTCCCTCGGGAGGCCCGAGAGAGGGGCCGAAAGATTGTCCAAGACCTGGGCCCTCGAACCTCGATCCTCAACTCTCGAGCGGGAGCTCGCCGCGGCGCCAGCACAGCGGCGCGGCCCGCCTTCGGTTCCGCGCGGCACTGGGAGCTTCCGCAGGTCGAGGCGGACATTTTGCCAGACCCGCGAACGCCAGGCGCCGCGGCGGGGAGGGGCGGGGCAGGGGTGGCGAAGTCGAGGGGCGATGGATGGTCGAGAGTGGATGTTTTTGACTCCTGACCTCTTCGGGGCCTCTGGTGGCGCCCTCGTCGCCAGGGCGCCAGGGCTGGGCACAGCTTGGAGATGGGCGGAAAGTACCTTGGGAGGGGCCCGGTGCCCCTTGTGAGCGGATTTTGGTTGGAGGTGGGGCGGGGGCCTTCTGAGAAGGCAGGGTGCTTCTCAGAAGTGATCGGAGGGTCTTTTGACTCACAGGGCAGGAGTGTTTCTAAGACGCCCCCCTGCCTTCCAGGAATGCCGCTCCCATCGACCCCCCATCCCCCCCTTGTGTCGGCTACCACACGAGGACGGGTGACAAGGCCTGGGGCTGACAGCCCCTGGAGGTAATTAGCATCGGATGGTCTTAACAGGCTTCAGTGCAGTCCAGGGCGAGCTCAACACCCCAATCCGAAGGACACCGCCAGAGGCGGCGCGGCGGGGTTGAGACCGCCCTGGGCCACCCTGGAGGCCGTGGAGGCCAGCCATGACTGCCTCGGGGCGCTGTCTGCACAACTCTAGGCACTGCCCAGAAGGGAGGAAGATGTCCGGGGCCCAGACATCCGGTGATGTGAATTCGTCAATCCGAGGCCCTGTAGCTGCCGACCCCTCCCCTGGTGATAGTTCTGCGTCCCAGATCCGTTTCTGAAGGTCCCAGGATCCAAGCAAGGGCCCAAGAGGCCGAAACCGACGCGGGGATGGGAACATCGGATCGTCGCAGGTCTTGGTGCGAAAAGGCAGGGGTGGTGTTGTTGGTAGTGGTGGTGGGTGCCCCACCATGCCCATGAACTCGCGGGGGGCCTGTCGACGATGTATCGTCGATGTCAGGTCGATGGTTTCTTGTCCCCCCCATGACAGGAGCATGTGAAAGTGGAGGAGGAGGGGGAGGAGGAGGAGGAGGGAAGAGGTGGGAGGAAGTGGAGAGAAGAGGAGGGAGGAGGATGACCAGAGTAAACCCAAGATGCATCAGCGATGCTGCAATACACCCTCTGGTCCCAAGTCCATTTTCACTGAAACAACCGCCCTTTTGAAAGAGCCGCAACCTGTGTGCCTGCTATTCGGGTCCATTTTGAAAATTGGTACTGCTTCGCACCCTTCTTGCGAAAAGTAGGTATGCTCACAGAGTTTGACGGCGTGTCCACTTATATCTTCTCGTTGACAAAGGGTCCCTCCCATCTGCGTAGCTGCTGCACAGGGTTACACTTCAGGTCATGAGCTTCGCGGAAGTCTCAAGCAAAAGCCTCATTTTGAACAGTATTATTTTCCATCCCTGTAGCTGTTACAACTGATCTACGTTCTTGTATGTCAGGCTTCAGAAGTCTCAAGTGAAAGCCCCAGTTGAGAAGGAACTTATTCCCATCGCCATATTGAAGAGGAATTGCTACGCACCGTTCTTGCGCATAAAAAGGTATGTGCATCGAGTTTAACGACGTGTCCACCGATTGTCTCTCATTGACACAGGGCCACCCCCATCTGTGTAACTGCTGCACAGGTTTACACTCCTGGTCGTGAGCTTCGAGGAATCTCTCGCAAATGCCGCATTTTGAGAAGGCTTGCCCAACATCCCTGTAGCTGTTACATCTGCTCTATGTATGTTAGGCCCAAGAGAAGTCTCAAGCGACAACCCCAGTTGGGAAGGAGCCAGTTTTACTTCCGCAAATGCGGCGGTAGTTTAAGGCCCAATGCTCGGTGCTAAAGCGAGAGCATTGTTTTTAAAGGGAAGGATCTCCATCTCTGAAGTTGTTGTAAGCTTTTAAGAAGACGGTGCGCGGTGCTAGAGCGAGCACCCCAATTTTGAAAAGGACCATCTGCCATCCTTGTAAAGAAAGTGCGCGGCGCAGCGACGAATATCCCATTCTGAAAAAGAGCCGTCCTCCTTGTTTGAAGCTGATGCGCACTACTTATTTCAGACAATTGTGCGTGGCACTGAGGCGAGAACCCCATTTTGAACACGACCCTCCCTGTATCCTTGAAGCTGTTGCATCTTTATCACGAGTGTGCGCGGCGCTAGGGCGTGAGCTCCTTTTTGAAAACGATCCGCCCACATCCTCGATGCTCTCGCTATTGTTTCAATACGACTGTGCGCGTCGCGAAGGCAAGAGTCCCATGTTGACCCTCCCTCCTTACGCACAGCCGTCGCAAGTTTCATGTTTCAGGGTCGCAAATGGTGAGGAAGTCTCCAGCGAAACGCCCAGCCCGCTTTACCGACACGTCTGTAGAGGACGAGGGGGATGGGCGACTAGGGATGCGGGAGCGCGGAGGTGCCTGGGTGCGCCGCCCTGGAGCCCGCCGCCAGGCATGTGGCAGGCGGTGGACGTGGCGAGGGGGCCCTTTGCCGAGGACGCGCTGGAGCCAGCCGCGAAGCGGGCGAGAAGCGCGCTCTGAGGCCGCGCGCGCTCGCAGGCACGCCCGGTCTTCCGGCCAGCGGGAGAGTCCGCTCCGAGGCGGCTGCGGCGTCACTGCCCGCCTGGCCAACGCGCCCGCGCGCTCCGCCCTCGGCGTCGTCGTCGGCGTCGTTGGCGTCGGCGTCGTCGTCGTCGCCGCCGAGGCGTCGGGGATGGCTCGGGCGGCTGGGCACGGCGGACGGACGAGCGGAGCGGCGCGGCCGATCGGAAAGGGTCCGTCGCCCCAATCACGCGTGGCCGCCCCTCTCGTGGCTGCGGCTGGTGGCCCGACCTTGCAGCTCTCGTGACTCTGGGCCGCCCACGGGGGCGCGAAGATTCTTGTGTTTCGCGCGTCGCGGCCGTGACCGAAGAGGTCGTGGGTTCATCGTCGATGCGAAAGAGTGGCTGACCCAGGGTGGTGGTTTGCTAGGTGCGGTCGGCACCTCGCACAGCAAAGCACCACCATAGATCAGCCCCCCCTGGTCCACAGTGGTGGTAGGGGGAAAGTGGGCCCACCAAGAGCTGCCCTTCTACAGGGTGCCGAAGCGCGGGTGGAAGTGCGCGAAGATTACCGCATGTCGCGCATTGCGAGGCGCGATGCGCTAAGTCAGCGACACAGATGATCGCGGTTCGCACGAGAAGGACCTCTGTATCTTTGTCGCTGGGCGTTTGCGGTCCCGCGTTGCCGGGGTGGGTGGGCGGGCGCTCAACGACCAATTTGTGGACCTTCCTGGGAGCACCTTGTGGTAAGCCGTTTGGAACCATTTTGGGAATCTACGTCTTTTTACCCCCTTGGGGGCGATCTTTGAGCATTTCTGGAAGCCTTGTGGGCCTTATTGCGGCCAACCGCGAAGCCATCGACCACAAAAAGTGTGCGTAAGATTGTTTTCTGTTTTCGGTTCGTGGATTTGGGCGATTATTGGAGCCCTGGCCCGTGCACGCAGCCGCCACGATGCTGTGACATCTTAGCCGCAGGGGGTCGCCTCAGCATCCGCGTTCTCGTCGCGAGTCGCAGCCCGCCTCCGCCGGCACCTTCACCTCGCCGACGTCCTCCTCTTGTCCCGGCAGCGTGGCCGATGCGTGGCCTTCCTCTGCTCCGCCTGGTGCTGGTTGCTGGGTGGCCTCCTCAAGTGCCGTCTCCAGGCCCCAGAGGACGAGGAGGACAGGAGGAGGAGGACGAGGAGGAGGAGGACGAGGAGGAGGAGGATGAGGAGGAGGCAGCACCACGAGTATGACGAGTGCGACCTGTACCAGCGGCACCACGACGTCCGGCACGTCGGTGAGCAGTACGAGCGATAGCAGCAACGCGAGTATGACGAGTGCGACCTGTACCAGCGGCACCACTACGCCCAGCGCGTCGGTGAGCACTACAACCGAGAGCAGCATCACGAGTATGACAAGTGCGACCTGTACCAGCGGCATCACTATGACCAGCAAGTCGGCGAGCAGTAGAACCGAGAGCAGCACCACGAGTATGACGAGTGCGACCGGTACCAGCGGCACCACTACGCCCAGCGTGTCGGGTAGCAGTACGACCGAGAGCAGCACCAGGAGTATGACGAGTACAACCGGTACCAGCGTCACCACTACGCCCAGCACGTCGGCGAGCAGTACGACTGAGAGCAGCACCACAAGTATGACGAGTGCGACCTGTACCAACGGCACCACTACGCCCAGCACGTCGACGAGCAGTACGATAGAGAGCAGCACTACGAGTATGACGAGTACGACCTGTACCAGCGACAACACTACGCCCAGCGCGTCGGCCAGCAGTACAACCGAGAGCAGCACCACGAGTATGACGAGTGCGACCTGTACCAGCGGCACCACTACATCCGGCACGACGGTGAGCAGTACGAGCGATAGCAGCAATGCGAGTATGACGAGTGCGACCTGTACCAGCGGCACCACTACGCGCAGCGCGTCGGTGAGCACTACAACCGAGAGCAGCACCACGAGTATGACAAGTGCGACCTGTACCAGCGGCATCACTATGACCAGCAAGTCGGCGAGCAGTAGAACCGAGAGCAGCACCACGAGTATGACGAGTGCGACCGGTACCAGCGGCACCACTACGCCCAGCGTGTCGGGTAGCAGTACGACCGAGAGCAGCACCACGAGTATGACGAGTACAAGCGGTACCAGCGTCACCACCACGCCCAGCACGTCGGCGAGCAGTACGACTGAGAGCAGCACCACAAGTATGACGAGTAAGACCTGTACCAGCGGCACCACTACGCCCAGCACGTCGACGAGCAGCACGAGCGAGAACAGCAACACGAGTATGACGAGAGCGACCGGTGCCAGCGTCACCAATACGCCCAGCACGTCGGCGAGCAGAACGACCGAGAGCAGCACCACGAGTATGACGACTGCGGCCGGTACCAGCGACACCACTGCGCCCAGCACGTCGGAAAATAGGACGACCGAGAGCAGCACCAAGAGTATGGCGAGTGCGACAGGCACCAGCGGCACCACTACGCCCAGCACGTCGGAGGGCAGTACCCCTGAGAGCAGCACCGCGAGCATGACGAGTGCGACCTGTACCAACGGCACCACTATGCCCAGCACGTCGGAGACCAGTACGATCGAGAGCAACACCACGAGTATGACGGGTGCGACCAGTATCAACGGTACCACTACGCCCAGCACGTCGGAGGGCAGTACGATAGAGAGAAGCACCACGAGTATGACGAGTTTGACCGGTACCAGCGGCCACATTACGCCCAGCGCGTCGGTGAGCACTACGACCGAGAGCATCACCATGAGTATGACGAGTTCGACTGGTACCAGCGGCACCACTATGCCCAGCACGTCGGCGAGCAGTACAACCGAGAGCAGCACCACGACTATGACGAGTGCGACCTGTACCAGCGGCACCACTACGCCCAGCACGTCGGTAGCCAGTCCGTCCGAGACCAGCACCACGAGTATGACAAGTGCGACCAGCACCAGCGGCACCACTACGCCCAGCACGTCGGCGAGCAGTACGATAGAGAGCAGCACTACAAGTATGACGATTGCGACCTGTACCAGCGCCACCACTACGCCCAGCACGTCGGCAAGCAGTCCGACCGAGAGTAGCACCACGAGTATGACAAGTGCGACCAGTACCAGCAGCACCACCACGTCCGGCACGTCGGTGAGCAGTACGAACGAGAGCAGCAACTCGAGTATGACGAGTGCGACCAGTACCAGCGACACCACTACGCCCAGCACGTCGACGAGCAGTACAACCGAGAGCAGCACCACGAGTATGACGAGTACGACCGGTACCAGCGTCACCACTACGCCCAGCACGTCGGCGAGCAATACGACTGAGAGCAGCACCGCAAGTATGACGAGTAAGACCAGTACCAGCGGCACCACCACGCCCAGCACGTCGGCGAGCAGCACGACCGAGAGCAGCACCACAAGTGTGACGAGTAAGACCTGTACCAGCGGCACCACTACGCGAAGCACGTCGGCAAGCAGTACGACCGAGAGCAGCACCACGAGTATGACGAGTACGACCAGAACCAGCAGCATCATATCGCCAAGCACGTTGGAGAGTACTACGACTGAAAGTAGCACCACGAGTAAGGCGGATACGACCAGTACCAGCAGCACCCTTACGCCCATCACGTCGGCGAAAACTACGATCGAGAGCAGCACCACGACAATCACGAGTACGAACGCCACCAGCAGCACCCCTGCGCCCAGCACATCGGAGAGTAATACAAGCGAGAGCAGCCCCACGAGTATGACGAGTACGACGGATACCAGCAGCACCATCACGCCCAGCACGACGGATAGCCGTACGACCGAGAGCAGCACCACGAGTATGACGAGTACAACCAGTAACAGCGGCAACACTATGCCCAGCACGTCGGAGAGCACTACGACCGAGAGCAGCACCACGAGTATGACGAGTGTGATCGCTACCAGCAGCACCACTCCGCCCAGCACGTCGGCAAGCAGTACGACCGAGAGCAGCACCACGAGGGTGGCGACCACGACCGAGACCAGCAGCACCACTACGCCCAGCACGTCGGCGAGCAGTAAGACCGAAAGCAGCGTCACGAGTATAATCAGCACGGTAGGTACCAGAAGCAACGCTAAGCCCAGCGCGTTGGCGAGCAGCATGAGCGAGAGCAGCACCACGAGTGTGACGAGCACGACCGAGACCAGCAGCACCACCACGCCCAGCACGTCGGAGGGCAGTACGACCCAAAGCAGCACCACGACTGTAACGAGCACGACCGAGACCCACAGCGCCACTACGCCCAGCACGTCGGCGAGCAGTACGACAGAGCAGCACCACGAGGGTGACGAGCACGACCGAGGCCAGCAGCAACACTACGCCCAGCACGTCGGCGAGCAGTACAACCGAAAGCAGCACCACGGGGGTGACGAGCACAACCGAGACCCGCAGCACCACTACGCCCAGCACGTCGGCAAGCAGTGCGACCGAAAGCAGCACCACGAGGGTCACGAGCACGACCGAGACCAGCAACACCACTTCGCACAGAACGTCCGCGAGCAGTACGACTGAAAGCAGCACCACGAGTGTAGCGAACACAACCGATGCTAGCAGCACCACGCCCAGCGCGTCGGCGAGCATTACGAACGAGAGCAGCACCACGAGTGTGACGAGCACGACCGATACCAACAGCACCACTACGTCAAGCACGTCGGCGAGTTGTATAAACGAAAGCAGCAGCACCACGAGTGGGGCGAGCACGACCGAGACCAGCAGCACCACTACGCCCAGCACGTCGGCGAGCAGTACGACCGAGAGCAGGGCCGCGAGTATGATCAGCACGACCGGGACCAGCAGCATCGCTACGCCCAGCACGTCGGCGAGCAGCACGACCGAGAGCAGCACCACAAGGCTGACGAGCACGACCGCCACCCGCATCACCACTACACCCAGCGCGTCGGCGAGCAGTACGACCGAAAGCAGCACCACGATTGGGACGAGCACGACCAGCACCAGCAGCACCACTACGCCGAGCACGTCTTCCAGCAGTACGACCGAGAGCAACACCACGAGGGCGACGAGCGCGACCGGTACCAGCAGCACTGCCACACCCAGCGCGTCGGCGAGTAGTGCGACCGAGAGCAGCACCGCGAGTGTGACGAGCACGACCGAGACCAGCAGCACCACTACGCCCAGCACGTCGGCGAGCAGTACAACCGAAAGCAACGCCGCGAGTGGGACCAGCACGACCGAGACCAGCAACACTACCACGCACAGCAAGTCGGCCAGCAGTACGACCGAAAGCGGTACCACGAGTGGGACGAGCACAACCAGCACCAGCAATACCACTACGCCCAGCACGTCGGTGAGCAGTACGACCGAGTGCAGCACCACGAGTGTGGAGAGCACGACCGGCACCAGCAGCACCACCACGCCCAGCGCAACGGCGAGCAGTACGACCGAGAGCTGCACCACGACTGCGTCATCGAGCAGTACGACCGAGAGCAGCACCACCAGGATGACCAGCACGACCGAGACCAGCAGTACCACTACGCCCAGCACGTCGGCGAGCAGTATGACTGAGAGCAGAACCGCGAGGGTAACGAGCACGACTAGTACCAGCAGCACCACTACGTCCAGCACGTCGGCGAGCAGTACGACCGAGAGCAGCACCACGAGGGTAACGAGCACGGCCGAGACCAGCAGCACCACTACGCCCAGCAAGCCGGCGAGAAGTACGGCCGAGAGCAACACCACGAGGGTGACGAGCACGACCGAGACCAGCAGCACCACCACGCCCAGCACGTCGGCGAGCAGTGCGACCGGGAGCAGCACCACGAGGATGACGAGCACGACCGAGACCAGCAGCACCACTGCGCCGAGCACGTCGGCGAGCAGTACGACCGAGAGCAGCACCACGGGGGCAAGGAGCACGACCAGTACCAGCAGCATCACTACGCCCAGCACGTCGGCGAGCAGTACGACCGAGAGCAGCACCACGAGGATAACGAGCACGACCGTGACCAGCAGCACCACTATGCCCATCACAGCGGCGAACAGTACGACCGAGAGCAACACCACGAGAATGACGAGCACGACCGACTTCAGCAGCACCACTGCGCCGAGCACGTCGGCGAGCAGTACGACCGAGAGCAACACCACGAGTGGGGCGAACACGAGACGTACCAGCAGCACCACTACGCACACCAAGTTGGCGAGCAGTACAACCGAGAGCAGCGCCAGGAACATGACCAGCTCGACCGATACGAGCAGCACCGCTACGCCCAGCACGACGGCGAGCAGTACGACCGAGAGCAGCACCACGAGTGTAAAGAGCACGACTGGTACCAGCAGCACGGGTACGCCCAGCACGTCGGCGAGCAGCACGACCGAGAGCAGCGCCGCGAGTGTGACGAGCACGACCGACTTCAGCAGCACCACTACGCCGAGCACGTCGGCGAGCAGTACGACTGAGAGCAGAGCCGCGAGTATGACGATCACGACCGAGACCAGCAGCACCACCATGCCCAGCACGTCGGCGAGCAGTTCGACAAAAAGCAGCAGCACGACCGGGGTCAGCAGCACCGCCACGCCCAGCGCGTCGGCGAACAGTACGACCGAGAGCAGCACCACGAGTGTGACGAGCACGACTGTTACCAGCAGCACGGGCACGCCCCGCACATCGGTGAGCAGTACGACCGAGAGCATCACCGCGAGTGTGACGAGCACGACCGAGACCAGCAGCACCACTACGCCGAGCACGGCGGCGAGCGGTACGACAGAGAGTAGAGCCACGAGCGTGACAAGCACGACTGGTACCGGCAGCACCACTAGCATCTCTACGCCCAGCACGTCGGCGAGCAGCACGGGTACAGGTATAACCATGAGTGTTCCGAGCGAGCCCAGTACCAGCAACACCACTACGCCCAACACATCGTCGAGCAGCAGCAGTGAGAGCAGCAACGCGAGTGTTCAGAGTGCGACTGGTACCAACAACACCACTACGCCCAACACGACGATAAGCATTACGAGCACGACCAATACCAGCAGCATCATGCTTCACAGCAACATGGCAACTAGCGGCACCACATTGACCAGCACGACGGACACCAGCAGCGCCACGTTCAGCAGCACAATCACTGGTGAGACCAGGGGAACTGGCCGCACCGTCCCCGAGAGGGCGTTGCGCCTCTTCTGGCACGCCCGCGGACGGTCGCAGGTGCTTGCGGCCTTGCTGTTCTGGGCGCTCTCGGCATGGAATGCCGCCGGCCATCGGGGGAGTGCAGGATGTCAGCTGGAGCCGACTCGGCAGCTGCCAATCCCCCTCACAATGCTGTGCCTCGCAGGCCATCTCACGTGCGCTCTCGCTGTGCTCACCTGTCTCTCTGTGGGCCTGCTGCTTGCCGTACTAACGATCGGGCGGCGCCTCATGGCCCGGCCCTCCAAGGCGTGCGGTCTCGTGCAGAAGTATGGCAAGAAGTACGCTCTCGCGATCGTGCTGCTCGTAAGTTGCCTGCTGGCCGCTGCGGTCGGTGCCGCCAGCTACACGATGACGTTGGCCACGGCTACATTGAGTGCCCCGACGCCTCGGGCTCCTCGTCACCACGGCTGGGCGCAGCTCGAAAACCTAGCCAGGAGGAACCAAGCTTACGGGATGGCGCCAGCTGCAATGGCCGCGACGTGGACCGAGCTGGGCTTCGACTGCACGCTGGGGTACCCCGGGGAAGGCCCTGGCGCGGCCGCGGCCGCCACAGCGGACGATATGGACACGAATGCGCCAACCGACGACGGGCCCCTCGAGGCAAGACACGGGCGGATTCGGGCGCAACGAACTGGCGATTCCTCCCGCTCTGGCACTGCTGCTGCCGCTGGGCCTGGCGCCCTACCAGACGACGCTGCCGGGCAGCGGTCGCGACGACGGCCACGAGAGGACGCCGCGACGTGGTGCGCCACGCTCCCCCGGACGGGCAGAGCAGCTACGTGCGCGATGTGTACTTCCACTATTCCGCCGCAGGTGATCCGCTGTCGCACAAGCATTGCGCCGCAGAGCCCCGCCGCCTGCTTGGAGTGCGCTCTTGTCTGCGCCCAGACCAGCAACGCTGCCCTGGAACTGGCCGACGACCTTCCTTTTGCACTCAAAAGAGAAGTTGAACACAACTGGGCTGCCGTCGTCACCGCGCCGGCGCCGCGTGCGCCAGCCGACGCGCAACTCCAACTCGACACGGCCAGGCGCGCCAGCAGCGACACCAACGCCGAATGGGCGGACGCCATCACGCCAGAAATGGTCCAACAACCAGTGCCCACGGCCGCCCATATACCGCCGCACGCTCGCGGGGTGGTGGGCGCCATCATAGCGGAGCACACGAAGGCTTTCGCCCACGAGATCCACCGCGGCACCCCGGAGTCCATCACCAAGGCGGCCAAGCGTTGGTTCATGCTCCCTAAGCTGCTCTCGGGCGCGCCAATCTCCGAGGCGGCAAGAGAGGCAACGCTCAGCTCACCACTACGCTGTTCCGCCGGGCCACGGAGATCAACGAGCACCGCGAAGCACAGCTTCGGGGCGCCGTCCTTGACTCCGCCCCACCTCCTTTGCGCGCCAGGCGGAAGACTACCGCGGAGCACGACGTTATGACGGCGCGCAAACTCGTGGAGGCAGGCGCCGTGGGCAAAGCTACGAGAGTTTTCCGCGAAGCACTCGAAATTGCCGGAGACCAGTTGACCCTTCAAGCCGCACCGCAGCTCTTCCCACACCATCAACCACAGCCACCAGCAGCCTACGACAAACAGGACGACGAGCAGCAACAGTTCGAGCTACACTTCGCCAGAGCCTTGCGGGCCGCACCAAAACGAAGCGCAGCTGGGCCCGACGGGTGGCGGTAGGAGCACTTCCAACTCGTCCGAACTGACCTGTCCGCTCTGTGTGCCCTGGCCACAGTGGCCGCAGCACTAGCCCGCGGCACCCCCCCGCAGGAAGTGCAGGAACTGGCGAAGGCCGCCCGCCCCCTCCCGCTCACCAAGACCCCCACCCGAATCCGCCCCATGAACCTCGCCAGCCCGCTCCGCCGTCTCGCGTCCAAGGCGGTCAACAAAATGGCATCGGACGAGGTCGCCGAGGGGCTTCGCGGCAAGCAGTGCGGGTGCAAGCACACGGCTGGGGCGGAACTGGTCCACAAGCACGTATCCACTGCCCTCCGCGTCCGCCCGGACTACGCCGTGCTCTTTCTGGGCGCTGCAGACGCCTTCCAGAACCTGAGCAGGGTGTACATCAACGGAGGTATCGATGCTCACTGCCCAAAACTCCGCCGATGGGCAAGAGGCTGCCTGCCGGACGCCGGGCAGGTTGTCTACCACGACACCGGGGGCAGAAGACGCATGTGGAACCAAACGACTGGTATCTTCCCGGGGTGCGGCATGGCCACCGCGCTCTTCTGTCTCGGACTCGACCGAGCCCTCGAGAGGGCCAAACGCCAACTCGACGCAGCAGGTGTACAGCACGAGCTTTTCGGCTACGTCGACGACCTCACCATCCTTGCGAAGCCTGAGGACCTGCCCACCATATATGCAGCCTACACCAACGCACTGAGCCAAGCCGGCCTCCAAGCACGCGTCGACAAATGTGAGGTGTGGGCGAGGGATCCTGCCGCGATACCAGCGGGCCTGCCCGCGCCGCGAGTAGAGCAGCCCACGATCTTACGACAACACGCCGACGACTACTCTGGCCTGGCACCGACGCCGGTAACCGCCGACCAGCGCGCCGAGGAGGGCAGCCTGCACTCACCCGCCTCGCCGCGACTACAACGCCAACGAAGCAGGAGGGCGACTGCCATGGCCAGACTCATGGACCTTCACAAGGCCGGCCTAGACGTTCAGACGTCTTTGGTACTGCTACGAACCCCCACTGCATGACATGACGTGGCACATGCGCACCGCCGGGGTTCCCGCCCAAACGGCGACGCAGCTCGACGCCGACCTACTCAGCACACTGGAGGACCTAGTACAAACGCACGACCTCACAGCGGAACAGAAAAAAAGAAATACTGGCACCCTGTCGCCTTGGGCGGCTTGGGATTCCAGAGCGCGGGCGCAGCGCGCCTGGATGCCCGGGCGGCCTCGTGGGCACTCTGCGAGAAGCCAGTGCTCCAGCGACTGGGCCTCCGCGACAGAGATGACCTTCTCTCCGCTACTGCCCGGGCTTGAGGCCGGCGCTCCACCGCCCCCAGAGCACATGTCAACGCGCTGACGCAGGAAGAGGCACCGCAGCAGGCGCCCGACACGGAGCCGCCCGACACCACCCAGCAGCGCTTTACCAGGCACAGGCGGCACGCAGAGTGGACGCAGTGGCTGCGGCGCACCCAGACGGAACCGCATCAACGGGCCTGGGCTCTTAGCGCGACGGGCAAGGGGGCAGGCGCGTGGCTCGGGCCGCCCGCGCGGCCCGACCACCACCTCGCTGACGCCCACTTCAGGATGGCCGTGAGACACAGACTCGGAGGTCTCGTACGCGCATCTGACGGCCCCTGTCCCTTCAGAAAGGAGGACGGAACCCTCTGCGCCGGCGCCGTCGACACTAACGGACGCCACGCGCTATGCTGCTCCTATGGCGGCTTCGCGGTTAAGAGGCGCAACAACCTGCGCGACACCATCGCGCGAACCCTACGTGAAGCCGGCATTCGCGACATCGCAGTCGAGCCATGGATTCGCCCGCCCACCGGGCCGGGCAATCCGGGTCTCCGCGCGGACCTCGGGTGCACCGACAGTGACGGCCAGTGGGCTTATCTGGACTTAGCGATCGTGCATCCCGCCTCGCAGCAGAGCCTGCAGGCCGGAGGGGCCCACGCCCAAGGCACCGCTGCGAGACTGGCCGAACAGGCCAAGCGCCGCAAATGCAACGGAGTCGCTGGTTTTCAGCCCCTCGGCTTCGAAGTGTCGGGAGCCATGGGCGAGTCCACCCGGAAATGGCTCGCGCAGCAAGTGCCTGAGGGCCCTGGGCGACTGGGGACTCTCAGCACTCTCCACCGGTCCATCGCCACCTGCGTGGTCCGGGAGGTGGCGCGCACGCTCATCATCGCTGCCTGAGATGGTCGTCGGGCCAGCCAGCGCGCCTAACGCAGGGGCCTGGTGGCTCACGCCCCTGGGCCTGGAATCGGCGGCCTAGCACGACGACGGCACCAGCGCGAGGGCAGCGCTGCTGCGCGAGGACGCACGAGGACAGCACTAGGACAGCACGAGGACAGCACAGGCACGAGGACAGCACGAGGACAGCACGAGGACAGCGCGAGGACAGCGCGAGGACAGCACTCGCACGAGGACAGCACTTGCGCGAGGACAGCACTGGCACGAGGACAACACTAGCACGAGGAGGGGAAGGGGCGCCGAGGAGGCCCGCCGAGGAGGAGAGGCGAGGCCCAGGAGGAGGAGCGCCGAGGAGGAACGCCGTGGAGGAGCGGCGGAAGCGGGTGGCGGAGGCCTGCGGCGGCGGAGCTGGCGGCGGGAGCGGGGGGCGGAGGCGGCTGCCGGGACCCTCCTCGGACCCGAGGGCCCCGGGGCGACGAGGAGGAGGAGGACGGTCGAGGAGGAGGAGGAGGAGGAGGAGGAGGAGGAGGATAGGTGAGGTGAGTTGAGGTGAGGTGAGGTGAGGTGACGTGAGGTGAGGTGACGTGAGGTGAGTAGGAGGAGGAGGAGGAAGAGGAGGAGGAGGAGGAAGAGGTCACCGAGAACCGAGAGGAGGAGGAAGAGGAGGAGGACGAGGACGAGGACGAGGACGCGGCGGCGGAGGAGGAGGAGGAGGTGGATGATGCTGATGATGATGATGATGATGATGGTGATGACGACGATGATGATGATGATGTTGATGATGATGATGATGATGATGAGGATGATGATGATGATGATGGTGATGATGGTGATGATGATGATGATGATGATGAGGATATGATGATGATGATGATGATGATGATGATGATGATGATGAGGAGGAGGAGGAGGAGGAGGAGGAGGAGGAGGAGGATGAAGAGGAAGAGGAAGAAGAGAGGAAATGATAGCAGAGGAGTGGAGATGAGGAGGAGGAGGATGTCACTGAGAATCGAGAGGAGGAAGAGGATGATGATGATGATGATGATGATGATGATGATGACGATGCTGATGATGATGCTGCTGCTGATGATGATGCTGATGATGATGGTGGTGATGACGATGACGAATACGATGACGATGGTGATGATGCTGATGCTGCTGATGCTGATGATAATGGTGATGATGACGATGCTGATGATGATGGTGCTGATGATGATGATGATGATTATGATGATGATGATGGTGATGACGATGATGATGCTGCTGATGATGATGATGATGATGATGATGATGATGCTGCTGCCGCTGCTGCCGCTGCTGCTGCTGATGATGATGATGATGATGATGAGGATGAGGATGAGGATGATGATGAGGATGAGGATGATGATGATGATGATGATGATGATGAGGAGGAGGAGGAGGAGGAAGAGGAGGAGGAACACAGAGGGGGCAGGGTAAGGGGGGCGGCCATCTGAGAAGGCCTCATGCTCCCGATTCCTTCCGAGAAACCGCCTGCCTCCTGGCACTGAGAAGGCCGCCCCCCTCATTCTGTTTTACTTTGTCTCCTGCCAATTACTCGCGGGTTCAAGAGGAGGAGGAGGAGGCTGAGGAGGAAGAGGAGGAGGAGGAGGAGGAGGAGGAGGAGGAGGAGGAGGAGGAGGAGGATGAAGAGGGTGATTGTGAGACGATGATGGGGCGCAGGAGGCAGATGAACAGTAGAAGGGGAACGTGGATCAACACCAGGACCAGGACGGATACGGAAAAAGACGGGTCGAAGGGAGCACGCGTGGAGGAGGAGGAGGAGGAGGAGGAGGAGGAGGAGGAGGAGGAGGACGACGACGACGACGAGATGCGAACTGCAGACGCGCCTAAGCGATTCCAGCAGGCGGGGTCTGGCAGAGAGAACGGAGTATGGGCGATCCGGGCGGGTTTTCCGAGAGGCATCGCAGGGCGCGAGCTACCCACGTGAGCAGGAGGCGGGACGCTAGGGCCTCAGCTTCTGAAGTGAGTGATCGTCGTTCTGTATGTCTCTGAGGGTGGTTTCGGCTGCAATCGGCTGAATGGAGGTCAATGCTTTGATCGAAGACGCCTACGGCGACTCACCGCCGCACCCTGCCTTTTTGGAAGCGCCTATGTGACGTTGAGGCCTGACCTGCCAAGCTATCGGAGCATGTGTTTCCCGAATCGGTTAAGAAAGCCTACGGGGAACACGTGGGCATCTTGAAGGTCATTTTGGCCGTCTTGAGGCCATTTTGACCCTCCCTTTCGGGCCTTCTTGGAGGACGTCTTGGAGGGCTCTTGGGCCGTCTTGGAGGCCATCTTGAGCGTCTTGGAGACCTCTTGGGCCGTCTAGGGGGCCTCTTGGGGCCGTGTCTTGGGCGTCTTGGGCGATCTTTGGGGGCACTTGGGCCGTCTCGGGCCGTCGGAAGGCAGAAAAAAACAAATGCCACAATCCTTCAATAACCCATGGGAAATCAATGATTCTGGCCTTTTCGGGCCTTCCTGGAGGCCCTCGTGGAGGCCTCTTGGGCCGTCTTGGGCCAGCTTCGAGCCAACTTCGGCCATCTTGGTGGGTTCCTGGTCCGTCTGACGCCGTTGGAAACCGTTTGGGGTGCCTCTATGGGCCGACTTGGGGCCCTCTTGGAATGATCCAGGGCCGTCTTGGAGGCCATCTTGGGCGTCGTCTTGGGGGCCTCTTGGGGTCGTCTTGGGGCCCTCTTGGCCCGTTCTGGGGCCATCTTGGAGGCCTCTTGGGCGATCTTTCGGCGATCTTTGGGGGCTCTTGGACTTTAAGGGTAGCTCTTTGGGAGATGTCATATAGGATCGGGAGTATAGCTCGCGCGCCTTTGCCTTCGGCTCAAGGCACGCGCGCCCTATTTGCCCGGACACTGCTGGTGTTCGATATGTGCTGGAAAGATTACTACATCGATCTTATCCTATCTTATCCGTCCACTCCCCATACTGAACTACCCCAGCATGGCATTGGACGCTATCTGCCATCCGCTTCCCATGGAGTCGGATGCTATTTGATGTACCAGAGTCACTTCAGACTTGGTAGCGGAGCTGGCCGCACTCTCGTGTGGTCAGCTCTTGCTCTTCTTATCCTCGCGCTATCATGCACGATCTTCGTGACCAACTACCACCCTGCGCCACCAGTCCAACTACATTTACGAGGATCAATTCAAGAGCAAGAAGCAACACGAGAGGTACGACGTCTAGACAACAACACTGTTACCATCTACGCTTCATCACTACGCTACTACCAACCGCTCGGCAACGAGCCAAAAACGCAGTACTTGAAGCAAAGGCGGGGAGACCCGCAAGACGAAACGCCTCGAATACTCAACAAGGCGCTACCCCAGCGCGGCAACGCGCCTGAGAACCACCCATATCTTCACAGCCTTGGGTTGGTTATTTTCGCCATCGTATGGTTTGCGCTGGGGGCAACAATCGGACACATGCGTCGAGGAGACAACAGCACCGATGGGCAAACACATGGCCCATACTGGGACCCTCAAGGCAACGTACGTTTCCGCGAGTACGTTTATGAGGTCAACGCGTGGCTCAACGTCACAAGCGGACGTATGACGCCACAGGCCCAAGCAGCCGCCATACAACGCGGCCTGGGCGGCCTAGCGAGGACACTCGCCATGAGGGTACCGCCTGACATTATAAACTACGGTGCGGACATCGACGGTGTCCACACCGACCCAGTAACCTACGCCATGTTCCTCTTAAGCATGAAGTTCGAACGCCTGGAAGATGAACGCCAGCTCACTTCAGGCACACATCTCATCGACTTTCATGTGCCTCACGGAGAACGAATCGATGTAACTCTCACTCGATTTGAGATGGCCCGTCTTGAGGCACAGTCGGTGGGGTTTGACCGCCCCAACTTCCAATTGCTCACAACTATCCTATTTCGCGCCCTAGGCGTCGGCAACCAGAGAGCCATGCAACCCTTGCAACCACTTAACCACCAAATGCCCCGAGCACAACAACAATATGATGAGTTGTGTGAGAGGGTGCGTTCGATAGGCCATTTGCCAGAACGGTCTCCTGTTAACATAGGATCAGTGTTTGGGAGGGGAAGGGGAACTGGTAGTGGAAACTTTTCATACTACCTTAACCACTGAAGCTCAGCCTGGCAACGGGCCCGCAAGCATATGGGCCGACGATCCTGGAGAGTCTACTGCTCTACTCACAGGGGATCGATCACAACCAAGCTGGGCAACCAGCCCTTCTCCTAGAGAACCTCAACCACACCGCTCCCTATGGGGGGAAGCGAATCCTCTCTGCGACGGTGTATCCACCTACCTAGGAAATGACGATCGCGACTCTGGCACCGACGCCGACGCCATATCATCATATGGTATTGAACCCTTAGACTGGTCAGATATCATGCAAATGGAAGGTGTCAATCAACGTGCCGAACGCCTATTCTGGTTTTTGCAACAGGCAAAGCGGAGGTGGAGGAGGTTCACCCGAAAGCCAGTGCGTCGTGTTAGAAGGAGGATACGGAGGAGCTTCAAAGGAAAAGGTAAAGGCAAACGGGGCCGCCGTAGGTTGAATGGACGAGGCATCTCGGCTTTCCTCCAGAAGCTCTCAGATGATCAATATGATGAGATATTTTTCGGGGGGAAAGGTCGTGGTTAAGGCCGTAGAGATACCTCGGGCAGCGGTATAGGTAGGCGGGGAAACCCGCGAGGTAGAGACGGCCAGATCCCAAAGTGCCATGGGTGTGATAGTACCGATCATCTTGTACAAGAGTGTCCAGCGAAGGGGAATGGAGAGGGCATATCGACCGAAGTCCATTTCGGCTCAAGTGAACCAGTTATTGAATATCTGAGCCTCCAAGATTTCGAGGCCATGGAACATATATTTTTCATTTGGGCCAGCAGCATGGACAACTTGGATGAGCTCGAGGCGTGCGGCCGCGGACTGTGCGCGTGCTACCTCGAGTGCCTCCGCCGATTTGTTCTCGGAAATATCGAGCTTGCGCCTGTGGAGAATGGTACGCTGGGAAACCAGCCCATATCCTTCTTCGAATGGATGTTCGGTAACCCAGGCGACATCATGGCCTACGAGAGCAGTGACGAGGATGTCACTGTTGAGGCCTCGCCTTCGGAGGTTGACTACAACCGTCGACATCAACCCGACCTTATGCCTGGAAACGGGCCCACTCCAGTATATCTTCCAACTTATGCCGATCTGATGGAATTAGAATCTCAAGCATTCACTACGGGCGTGCCAGGGAACCCATACGTACCACCTGACTCGCTCGCTCCGGGCGAGTACGGACCGCACGCGATGCTGCAGACCCTCATGCAGGTGCACGCTGTATTGGTCGTAGCATATCCCGAGAGTCAAGAGAGTGTCGAGAGTGGCCGCATGATGCTACAAGACACCGATGCCTGTGACGACTCGGAGTTAGTGCTGGCGGCCCTCACTCTTATTGATAGCGTGCACCCTGAGGACGTGCAGCGACATGTGTGGTATTCCAGAGGGAGATGGCGCCAAGCCCTTGAAAGGGCCATCTCCATGCGCGGTCAGGCTCTCCCTCCGCCGGGATGGGGTCCCCAGGCGGCGGGGCCACAGCCTAACCACGCGGCCGTGCGACATATTATCGGGCAGCCTGCGCTCGGTAACGAGCCTGGGCCGACTACCGCACCGCCGACTCCGGGACAGCCAAGCGATGCTCAGACGCTTGTACAGCAGGGAAACCTGCCCGTCCTGGCTGAATCGATGACCGTCGTCATCGGCAACCCTATGTCAGAAGATGAAGAGGGTGATGGATGTGGGATGTGCGAGGACGAGGCCACCATCCCCATGATGGAAGCCAATGGTGAAGACGAGGAGGTGGATTTCAGCCCCGACCGCCCAGACACGCCACCACCTGCACAAGAACCAATTGTGCCGGACTCCAGTAAGCAGGGAGACCTGCCTGTCCAAGATGCGCCGCCTGCGGCCCCGCAGGAACCCCCGCCGGCTCCTATTCAGGCTGCGTCGGTGGCTTCATCTGATGAGCGCGCCAGGAGGTCTCGCTCTCATCCACGCCTTAGGGGAGAACCTCACCCGCAAGCGCGGCTTCCCCGCGAATGGAGGCAAGCAGGCCCAACAGAGCACGCCGCTCGGCGGGGGGGTCAACTGCTCGCCTACAATGGCCCTAGGCGTCAAACGGGTGAGCACTCTGCCTTTGGTAAAGGCAACCCAGCTTGCAGGGGTGCCCAAGGCAGGTCCATACGGGCTGGCTACCAGCTCGCGACGAATATTCGTCGTCATGACATAGAGGTAGTACGGGCGCAGCTGCGAAATGTCATTGCGGCGCGCAAGCTATACAGGCCCAACGCAGTCTGTGGGCCGTGCTCAGAGCCATTCCAGGAGCACAGGCCTGGGTGTCCTGTAGGGCTCAACGAGGGCTTGAGCCCGAATAGAGGCCGCGCTCCTGCCAAGGAGGGTCATCCACCGTTGGTTCCGATGACTCCAGCAGAGATCGACGAGATCAACCGTCGTCTCGGAACAACGGCTCATATGAGCCCGATGGCCGAGGAGGTCCAGCCTCCGAAGGGACTTGTGCCTATGACCCAGGCAGAGAAGGATGCGCTTCATCGCCTTCCTGGAATGCAGGGGAACCCGCCTGGCGTCCCCAGTCATGCCCAACAGCCAGAAATAATGGATGACGATGAGCAGAGGGCGCGGCGAGCCGCAGCAGATGCGGAGCGCAAACGAATAGCAGACGAACGCACCCGCGAGGCAACTCGCCAAATGCTGCTGGAGTCCCAAAAGATCAATATGAAGGGGGCAAGGAAGCCCCCACTCCAAACGAAGGCCAAGAGCGAAACGCCTGCACCCAGGACGCCTTCGGGGGAGAAACAGAAAACGTCGGCCCGCTCAGAGGAACTCGGGTTAGATGTGCAGATGGAGATTCCTCGTTCTGACACGCCGAGGTCACCGACTAGGGCCACTCCGGCACAGA